TGAATGCGATCTCCGAGGACCGCCCGATCGCGGATGCGGACGGGGGCGGCGTTAATCGGCGGGGGCGGGCGGGCGGATGTGTCGTCGGGAAACGGTCGGTGAAGGTGAAACCTAAATCGACGGCGGCGAAGGCTGCGCCGCCGCGAATTCACGATGGGGACTACTGGTAAGCTATCTATTTACTCCATCGTGATTCGCGGGGAATTAGTATAATTTTCCAATTAATAAAAATAACTGATTTTTTTTTAAAAAAAAAAACTGTAAATTCAGGCAGATTTTTTTTACTAAAATAGCGAAATTTTAATTTGTGATTTTCAGGAAATCTGCACAAGTGATGGCCGTGCCGGCGTTTGCTCCGCCGTCGTTTTTGTTCTGAACGCGATCAGAGCTCAACTCATATTTCTTATCGTGGTCTGCTAAAATTTGTATATTCTCATATTTATTATTATTATTATAGAGTTTTAATGTCTTGAATATATATGTCAATTTATAGGTGTAGAATTTTTCGTGTTAACTTATAATGTTTCATAATTACATACTAGTACAAGAGTGTACAATTTTAAAGGCTATTTATCCATGCTTATAATTATATAGAATAAAGAAAAATATACGAGATATATAAAGTTTTATAAGATGTAATATTCAATAAAAGTTTTATAATACGCAAAAAAAATTGTACAATAAAATAGTATTCGACGAAGAAACAACCATTTGAGTATTACCCGCTTTTATTTGTTTCTCTTGCACACTTTGAATGTCAACAAACAATCCTGTAATATCGTCAATAAAAAACAAATATGTTATAATTGAACTAATTTGCAATAAACAAATAAAATTAGAAACAACAGAAAATAACTTATCGAATAAAATCGATTCGTCAATTTTATTGACATCTTGTTGAGTTGCAAAGTCTTTGAATTGAAATTGAAATACATTAAATTCTTCCTTGCATTTTGTAAACATAGTGCTCCTGTGCAGCATGATCTTAAAATCAGTGAATGTCGAACAATACTTTCCTATATTGTTGTACACTTGATAATTTTTTTATACAATTCACCATGTCCTTCTCAAAATCTTCTCTTTAAACGCAGCCAAGTTGATTGCCCGTAGTCATGTCGTAATGCGATTTCACTAAACATGTACAAAAAAACAATCAATAAAAAATTTATTTATTTAAAAAATATAAATAATGTAAATATCTAAATATATACACGACCTGTAGAAGAAATAAACCAACTTCTAAATTTAAAAAATAAAATTAAAAATATTCGAAAATATATGTTTCGTAGTTCGAAATTAAAAAAAAAAGAAGTAAAATAATTTGGCTTACAGTTTTATCATGCAGAACCAACTCGAGATAGAATTTGTATGTGTTGTCCTTGTATTGAAAAAACATTCTTACGATTCGAACTTTAAGCATAAATCTATTAGACCTATTAACTTGTTTGATTAAGCCAAATCCTTAGTTCATTGTTTTTGAATGAAAGACTGATTAAGGATTTTTGTTTCGCAGGATGTTGAAAGTGACGAAGACGCTGCTCAATATTTTGAGATTTATAATTTATAATTAGTAGAATAGATACAATAGTTGTTAATATTTTTATGAAAAAAAATCTCATTATACATAAATTTCCTAACTGAATCTCATATTACAATGAAAACCTATGGTAAAAATCGTTGGAAAAATAGTCGTTAAAAATTGGAATCATCAAATTCAAATTAAACTTCTAATGAAAAACTCATTCAACGGGGTATTTTTGTTAGAATTTACGTTGGAATGAAAAAAAAGAGAGAATTTACGTTGGAATGACAACAAAAACTATACTAGTAAAATTTATACAATTTTTTTTCGCAAGATTTTGGGACAGTAAAGTAAAAATGAGAGAGATTCGAGATAGGGGCACTATTTTCATTGCACAGGACTTGAGACCAAGTAAACCCACAGATAGATACACGTTGAAGGAGAAGAACACATATCCATATAGTACATA